CGGGGCTGCTCTCCCCTTCCCCCGTGCTTCCGGGGACCCGGGCTGGGGAGGGACGGCCGGACGCCGCACACGGCCCTCACCCCGGATGGCAGGGGCCCTCGCGAACCTCGACCCCACTTCTCGTCCTGAGAGCGGTCTGAGGGGCAGCACAGGACGCACCCAGATGATTGATTCCTTCCGATCGGATGGACGTGACCCTGATGGATGATTGGTTCCTTCGAATCCGATGGACGTGACCCTGATTGATGCCTGCGAATCAAATGGATGTGACCCTGATGATTGGTTCCTTCTTATCAGATGGACGAGACCCCGAAGGGAGATTGATTCCTTTGAATCGGATGGATGTGACCCTGATTGATGATTGGCTCCTTGGGGTCAGATGTTAGTGTCCACTAGTCCGCCCACAGGTTCTGTGTGGCGGGACGAGGGCGAGCTCAGGACACGTTCCTGAGGACGGGTCGTGGGGGGAGCCAGGGGAGGGGTGGTGGGCAGAGGGGAGGTGGGCGCAAGCTGGCCGCAGATCTCTTAGAGAACGGCCGCCCCCTCCTGCAGGACTTCCCGGACGGTGACAGGGGCTCAAGTCCGCCCCCCCATCGGCCCCACTCCAGGCCCTGCCATGCGTGGAGGCTGCGCTGGACGGCAGGGGACCCCAGGAACGGAAGGCGGGCAGAGCTTGGGGCCCTGTCCAACAATGCCAGGGAGAAGCTACAGCTGCGTGGAGGCGAACCTGCCACCTCCCGAGGTCAAGGGGGACTGCAGGCCCAACCTTCCTGTTACCTACCCTTTTTAAACCTGTCCACGCTTATTATTATTTCAGTCTGGTGAAATTTCCAGTAAAAGGCTAATTCAGAGCCGATCGGAAGCCGGGAGGGCCTGACCATTTGCGTGTGTCGGGACATTGCACGGCCTGACCATTTGCGTGTGTCGGGACATTGCACGCAGATAACCCCACTGTGGTTGGTGGCTGGCTGCAGACTCATCTGGTTATGAACCCCACACGTTGTCTTTTCGTTCTTAACATCTTACATTTCCCACTGTGTTCTGAATCATTAGGATGTGTTTACCGTGAAAGGACGCGTCAGCCTCCTGTGACAGGCGGCCTCTCCTGACTGCCTGGGTTGAGATTAGGACAAGTCTAGGAAGACAGCTCACATCGCTTGTGGCAGATGGGCAGGAGGCGGCTACCTTGCCGGGTCTCCAGGAAGGACTAAGAGACAAGGGCCTCCCATGGCGTGGCTGTGCTATTTTACCCAACCCTCTCTTGTTTGATGACAAGGCAAACAAGAATTGTCTACTTGTAAAATCTTATGCATTTATATCTATTTTTGTGCTAGTCTTGAGGCTTGAACTCAGGGCCTGTGCGCTTCTCCCTGAGTTTGCTGTTTTTTCCTCAAAGCTAGTATTTTACCACTTGAGCCACAGCTCCACTTCTAGGGTTGTTTGTTTGTTTTGTTGATTTTTTTTGTTAATTGGAGATGAGAGTCTTACCTACTTTCCTACTAGGGCTGGCTTCAAAGGGTGATCCTCAGATCTCAACTTCTGGAGTAGCTAGGATTACAGGCATGAGCCACCAGCGCCCGGTTCTTATGAGTTTATTTAACATAAGGATGGTTAACATTAAAAAAAAAAGTGTCCAGGTGCTGGTGGCACACACCTGTAATCCTAGCTATTCAGGAGGCTGAGATCTGAGGATGGAGGTTCAAAGCCAGCCTGGGCATGAAAGTCCGTGAGACTCTCATCTCCAATAAACCACTCAAAAAACCAGAAGTGGCGCTGTGGCTTAAGGTAGGGCACTCACCTTGAGATGAAGGACCGTGCCCAGGCCAAGAGTTCAAGCCCCACAACCACCACCACCAACAACAACAACAAAAAGTGAAAAGCGGATACTGCAGAGGCCATCGGATCTGTGTGCTCTTATTTGACTTCCACAAAGTCTTCTCCCACCCATTTATTAGTGAAGAAGCAGTATCAAAGCGCAGCAGCTGGGCCTGCTCAACCGTACGCAAGCAGGGTGGCCTCTGTCTGCACCCACACCCCGTGGGCACAGCTGCCCAAATGCTGCCTGGGCCTAGAGGAAGCCCTCGGCAGCGGCATCACCATAACTCACAGCCGGCTCAGACACATTTTATGCCACCCCAGGCAACAATGCCCCCGGATGAGTTTGGGGAGCAGTTTACCCCAAGTCCCGGGCTGCTGTCTGCTGGCCTGTGTGTGTAGACGGAGCCCTTGCTAGGGCCATGACAATGCTTTGAATGCCCTTGCAACCCCAGAGGTTCGTGTGTTGGTGCATTGGAAGTGTAGTCCTGAGTGGTACGTGGGTTGTGATGGGTTAACAGCTGTTCACACCAGTAGCCCATCCTCCTTCAGGTGGAATAGTCAAGGGGTCCTCAAAAGAGCTGTCACCATGGCCTTTAGACTCCCAATCTACGAGCCCCTGCAACCACTTCACCGATGATCTAGTCTCAGGAAGTTCAGTGTTGTAGCAGATAACAGACTAGTGAGTGACTGAATGACTTGTGTAGATACTGACTGTGAATGGAAGGATCATAGTGCATACTGATGTGAGCTGGGAGGCCCCGTCAGGACTGGCTGACCCACAGAGCCATCCCTCTTACCCACAGAATTCAAGGCTGACCCTTGGAAAATGTCAGTTACAAAATGGAAATGGGCTGGGAAGGTGGCTCAGTGGTAGAGTGCTTGCCTTGCATGCATAAGGCTCTGGGTTCGATTCCTCAGCACCAGATAAGCAGAAAAAGCAGTAAGTGGTGCTGTGGCTCAAGTGGTAAGTGCTAGCCTTGAGCTGAATTGCTGAGGAACAGCGCCCAGGCCCAGAGTTCAGGCCCCACAACCAACAAAAACGAAAAAGAAAAAAGAAAAAAAAAACAATCTAAAGTGACAAGCAGGGAAGTGCTAGGAAGCTCTACCTACTCCACTTATGGACGCATTATGCAACACTGAAATTATAGTCGTGAAGAGCATGAGGCAGACGGGAAATGTTTGTGATTGACAAAATCACTTTAAGTGAGAAGCAGAGTGCAAGATTGTATCTTATAATGTAGCTGTAATTACATGCAGATATGGAATCCATGGAAAGGACTAGAAGGACAGTCTGAATGGCAGCAAGTCTTGTCGTAGAACAAGTAGGTCTTCTTAACTCTCCCCCGTCTCAGTCCTTTCAGACTGCTCAGGCCCCCATCAGAAGTTCACTTTAGTGGTAGGATGGGTGGTCAGGGTAGACAGGAAGGGCTTACATGGTTCACCAACTGTCCTCCTCCTACACTAGAAGATTCCAGAATGTTCTACATCCTAAGAGGGATGAAAATATATGTCCCAAACCTAACAGTAGGACACATTACATTTGGTTGTCACCATTATTGCCTTTTACTTCATTTTGGAACATTTGGAAAAGGAATGTATTGCACTTACAATGAAAAAAAGGATCAGATTCTAAAAAGTCATCACATGAATCATAAAGTGTACAGTTTTGGAATGGCCGAGCTGAGTGCGTTTAGGTAAGTGAGAAAAAAAAACTCTAAGGAGAAATCCTTTGGTCTCAACTAGTGATAGACATGGCAAAGGCTCTGCAGACAGGGCTGAAAACCAGTCCAACTTGGGAGGAGAAGAGGTAAGGTGGGAAGGAAGGAGGAAAGCGGACTGATCATCTGAGAATGGAGTCATACATGCCAGCGGCTTCCCCATCCACATTTAATCTTGTCTGGAAGAGAAAGAACTTGTTTGTTAGTTACCTCAGAGGCTGCCTTCCAATTATCCATTTCCAGCCTTTTGCTGGTTATTTGGAGAAAATATTCAGGCTTGTCTGAACTGTGATCCTCAGAGCTCAGCCTCCTGAGTAGCCAGGATTACCGGCGTGCCCCACAGCACTCAGCTTCAATTCTTTTTGTTGGTCGTGAACCCCAGTCTCACAAGGTGAATATGACATTAACCGTACTACCTGTTAACAAGACACCTGTCCCAGATTTGTTAAAGTTGGCTTTCTCTTGAACTAAGGTCACTGTCAATGTTGGAAGTCATTTTCTGTGTGGCTCTGTGACATTACAAGGTCATGGGACCAATTTTGCCACTCCTCCATTATTCATCAGCAAAGCCTGAAGTTGGCTGACAGGCTTTCTTCTTTCCTCCTCCTCCTCCTCCTCCTCCTCCTCCTCTTCCTCCTCCTCTTCCTCCTCCTCTTCCTCCCCTCCTCCCCTTTTCCAACCTCCCCTCCTCCTCTTTTCCCTCCTCCTGCCCCTCCTTCCCTTCTCCCTCCTCCCCTTCTCCTCCTCTTTCTCCTCCCTCACCCCCTCCCCCTCTTCCCCTCCCCCTTCTCCCCTTTCCCCCTCCTCCTCCCCCTCCTCCATCTTTTCCGCCTCCTCCTGGGGCCTCAGGTCCACTCTGCCTCTCCTTTCACAGTGCTGAGTGTAGTGGCCCCGGCCCTCCAAGGCTCTCCCGGCAGTGTGCCCTCCGCCTGCGGCCACCACCACCAGCAGTGCCAGTTAGGGGTCATGAGGCCACTGCTCTCCTCCTCTGTTGTCCGTTTTCCACTGCACCCATGTTACAGTCAGTCTCAAGTTCAAAGTCATTAGCCAGTCCTCCCCACCTTTGACCCCAGCGACTCCTGCTACCAAGTCCTGGACTCAGGACCCATCTGGGAGCACAGGCCAGGATGCTCTCCCAGGGTCAGCAGAAGAGGCCTCATCCAGGGCACTGGCCATGAACAGCTGAGGTTTTAAGGTCCCAAAGAAAGAAATGGAGGCCGGAGAAACCAAAAAAGAGGCCACTGAGCTAAGACGTGAGCTGCCCACTCTCCAGGCGTGAGGCCCCTGGGGCAGCGACGGCCGGTTCCGGAGCAGCTGCAGGGGCGTCCCCTCAGCACAGACCCCCCCCCGGGGCTTCCGCACCTCCATCAGGCCTCTCTGCCCCTGCTGGGTGCCGGTGGGCACTGCCCAGCTCCTCCGTGAACCCTCAGCCTCCAGCTACCAAGTGGCACGTGGGAACTGGGGGGGGGGTCTTGTGGGATGAGGGGGGCTTGTGGGACGGGGGGCTGGTGGGATGGGAGGCTTGTGGGACAGGGGGGCTTGTGGAATGGGGGGCTGGTGGGACGGGGGGCTGGTGGGATGGGAGGTTTGTGGGACGGGGGGCTTGTGGGATGGGGGGCTGGTTGGATGGGGGGGCTTGTGGGATGGGTGGGCTTATGGGGACGGGGGATTGTGGGACGGAGGGGGGGCCTTGTGGGCTCCGGGCTGAGGCACCCCAGCAGCAGAGTCAGCACTGGTCCTCGTGGGTCTTGCTCAGCTTTCTGAGCAGGGAAGAAGGGATCTGAGATGGCTTTTGTAATTACAGAGTACAGATCTTTCTCTGGCAGTTGGAGAAATTCTTGAGAGATGAAATGAGTCATACACTCCTTTCCGAAGAAGAAATAACTTGGTCCTAAAAGAGATTTCCAGAGATAATCATCTCCAATCATCTCCTCACCCCCCTCCCCCCACCGCCCTTTTCATCTTTGCTTGAGGCTAAGACAGTTACTTTCCGGTTGTCTGGAAGTGTGGAATGACAGCTGATATTGTGTCAAGGTAAGCATCTCTATTCAATGCTACCTTCAACATCAGGTTCTAAATATAGGTCCCAATGTAGTATTCTGAGAGAAGAAAGTTGAAGCTGATCTGGCATGACTGAGGGCTGGTAAGTGAAATCTTATAATTAGCCGAAACTGAGAACATGTATCATATTTATATTATGCATTTTCAGGGTATTAGACTGAAATAGAGTCTTCTACTGTTTATCTTACCAGCCTTGTCTGACTGTAAAGATCTTAGTACTCCCATACCAACTTTCAAAAATATAATGAAGAATAAATCCTCCAACTGTGTTACTCTAAACTATTATCTAATTTTTAAGTTGTTTAAAATTGAGGATTAATGTGTGCGTAGTAAAGGACATGGATCTCAAATGCAACATGGAGTGGATTTGGAACAGTGTGCACAGGTGCCACTTGCACTGCAACCCAGGAAGGCAGGGAACACTCCCATTGTCTAGGAAGTTCACCCATACTCCTTCCTTCTCAGTTCCACAGGGCCCATCCACCACAGCCACACTGTTTTGGTTTCTATCACCATGAGTAGTGAGTTTTGCTTGATTTTGTGTGTGTGTATGTGTGTGTGTGTGATATGAAGGGAAAAATGTATGTACTTTTGTTTATCTTTCTTTTATCGATCATTGT